GTACATTTCATGTGCTAATATGTAGGCTACATTTCAGGTGCTAATATGTAGGTGCTAATATGGAAATTTTAGGTGTTAATATGTACATTTTAGGTGCTAATATGTATATTTCAGGTGCTAATATGTACATTTTAGCTACTAATATGTACCATTAAGGTACCAATCTGCAGCCTTTAGGTACAAAAGTGTATCTTTTGAAAGGGTACAGCCCCAGTGACAGCTTTTGAGCTGAGAGTGTAGATCCCCTCAGGAACCTGACGTTTATGTCATGCTTTCCCAACAACGGGCTAATAATGTGTAGCAAATGGTAAAATATACCGGGATAACCTGGCTTCTCTTCACTTGAAAGCCTTAATTACCGGTCTTTGAAACATGTAATTCCTCAAACCTTTCATAAATGTCCAAGAACTCAGCAAAACATTTTGAATAATTTTGGCTGTCAATGGATAAAAGATGTTCTTTGTTTTGATGGTATAGTTACGGCATGCATTTGCCAGAAGAGGCTACTAACCAGCCAAACCTTGACCGCACTAGCTGCTAAACCAAAAACCAACCTCCTTTTCAAATTATACCACAAACAGCAATGATTGCGCTCGGGCTGATCGCCGAGATTTTCACGAAAAAGAAAAAAAAAACCAGAATAACAATCATGAATCATGCATGCAGGGATGAAAGATTTTGGTCGAAGCGAGACTGGCCACCCTTGGGAATATGTACAACAGTTCAAGACTTGAGGGCTTGTTTGTTTATTCCTTTTTCATCTTCTGAATGTGTCGTCCTCTGATAACAGCCTCTCCCAGACAAACAAGCACGGTATCTGGATATGATTATGAGTTAAGACATGATGGGTCAGGGACGCACTGATAATTTCAGCAGACACAGAGGTCAGGAGAGGCCTGAGAATGGATATCCTCCACGCTTGTGTTCATCATCTCCCTTAAGGACATATATCAAAATCCAAACTTCCTCCATTCTACAGGGCCCAGTCGATATCCCGACTTCAGCCCAGCAGGCACTAGCAGCTGTGCCCCATCATTCATCCATGATGGGGTACACAAATTTGGCACAAAAATACATAAAAAGTAATAGTGAGTGACTTTCTTTTATCTCACAGCTCTGACTTTATTTCTGTCCATCTCGGCTGAGTCTTTCTCAGAATTTCAAGTTTATATCACACAATACAAGATCTTGTAATTCAAACGGAAAAAATGTTGCAATATATAAACTTAGAATTGCAGAAAATCAGAATTATAAGATAAAAAGTCACTACCATTTTCCATCCCACTTAGCAATAAGGCTGTTGAGGGGTGACACTTAAAATTCTTCCTTTTCAACTTCTAGACTAAATATACACGTACCCAAGATGAACCCTAATCAGCAGCCTCTCCAAGGCTTTTGTTTGTTTCTCGCAGAGCAGTAAACCAAGTTCAAAGTTGGGCTCTGTTTCCCGTGGAACTCCCCTTGCTTCGCAGTCAAGAAAAGTAATGGTAGAAAGGGAGAATGGATATTACAATAATTCTCCAATGCCTCAGGGATATCGAGGACCTTAACCTTTTTTAAACACCGGACAGGTGTTTTAGGGAATAATTTGAGCAGATTTCAATCAATCTTACCCGGGCCGCTGGACTGCCACACTAATTGCAAGTGAGAATTTTTTGCAAGGGACAAATCATGCTGTTGACTGATTTTTTGTTGATGTAAGAGAAGCTTTCAGCAGGACTTGCACAAATGAAAACCACATTTTTGGGAGATCACAGTGTCTGCTCTGGGCTTGAGGATCAGGAGACTTTTGAGGGTATAGATGCTGGTGGAACAAGAACAACCTTATTTTGCATCAGTGGATACTACACAGCTTGAGTAAAGTTTTGTCCAAGCTTCTATATTGTGTCATTAGGAGTGTTTTCAACAAAGCCAACAAGCCTGCGGCAAGTGAGCTTTTCTGTACAAAAGTCATTTTGTCTGTCTGGCATTTTTGCTTTGCCATATCACTGTCTAAAACGCGCTGTGTTCATTTTTAACTGCCAGACTTGTGCCTTGGCATGATGTCAGTTCTATGACATCATAATCACAGTCCTCATAAAACAATGTAATTGTAACAATGCATGCAATGGTTTTGAAAAAAGAAACTGAACTGACAGCCTTTGCAGAGGTAATTGTTTTTAATATAACTGCTGTGTGTGGAAACACAGACATATATATATATATCTATATCTGGGGTATTGTATTAATAAACGTTGACCTTTGAATTCTGACTTTTAAAAAAGTGTGTGATGTATTCAGAGGTGGACAGTAACAAAGTACATTAACTTGAGTACTGTACTTAATTACACTTTTTGAGTATCTGTACTTTACTTGAGTATTATTTTTTCTGGAAACTTTTTACTTTAACTTCACTACATTTGAAAGACAAATATCAAACTGTTTACTCCACTACATTTCTGTCAAGATCCTTGAGTAGAAAGTAATGTCAGTCAGGGTATGATTTTGGAAAAAAGCATTGAAAAAAGCATGAAATGAAAGCATTGTTGACGTCAGAACCCGACTACTGATGTTGGTTTCTGACTTCAACCCATTTTTCCTTTTCAACCCTGTCCAACGTTGGAGATTAACGTCAATCTGACGTTGGATTCTGACATCAACCTGATTTTCATTTTCACTGTCGGGTTTGGTCTTCTAAATGTGAATTTTGTCATTGTTTTAGAGCACACTAGCTTATAGATTAACAGTTTAAGGCTAACATATTCATACTAAAAGCCAAAAAACTTTAAATAGGGCGCCCTATTTGAGGAAACAGCCATTTGGGGGTCCGAAACCATTGTGGACGTTATTGAGTGCACTTATTCAAGCTCACATTAAGTCCTACTACTGGAAGTTTGTTCTAGAAATAAATTTGATATTGATTTGAGGGTAGGTATATGGCATAGATTCAGAGGCATAAGGTACTGCAAGTATTACAATGCAACATTACTAAAACAATGCATTGACATTTACTTTTGATACTTAAGTTTTAAAAACTTTTAAAACTGAGTAAAAATCAGTCTTTACAACTTTTACTTGTAACGGAGTAATATTTGACAGTAGTATCTGTACTTTCACTCATAAGGAAGTTGTGTACTTTGTCCAACTCTGGATGTATTACAAGTTATGTGCATATTCAGAGCTGACCTTTATTAAGGATGATGTCATTTTTTTGACTGTGAATGAGTTTGAACTTGTTTCTATTTAAATGGAGGCCAACAGGTTTATATGACTGAAGTATTAAGACTGACATTAGTGCTCAGAACATTCATTTGTCAAATGACGTCATGTTTCAGTCACATTTTGAGCCTTTGCAAGCCTATATTTTTAAGATCACTGTGTAACTAAACATTATATGGGGGAATATTTAGACCAACATGCCAAAAAAATATTCTCTCACACAAAATTATGGTAATTTGAGTCCGGTTCTTGAATAGGTGCGGGCAAAGAATGAGTCATTGCGTGAACGTGTACCAAGCACGGAAAACTCAACAAATGCTCTTACTGAGTCTGCTTGCGTGCCAGAAGGCTGGTGTAAGTCCCTTGTCTGGCTTGTTTCAAACAATGGAAATTCTGGGACACATACATACAAACAGAACAATCCTCATTTAATGCAGTAAACTGCATTTTTTTGAGCTTCCGCAATACTTGACAAATGGACACGATTCTTTGTTTTCAAATCGTGAAATGTCTGGAATTTAGCAATTTCATTTAATAGCAAAAACTATATACTTTATCTTTATCTTTTTGTATTGGAAAGTGTAATTTGTTGTCCTCACTAATTTATTTAGTGGTTTTGTGTGTCACATTATTTTTTTATATTCCATGCAGAATCTCAATAATAAAATAAAATTTGAATAAAACATTTAGATGACAAATTTAAAAGTAAAAAAAAAATGTTTTTATATTATATATAGCAGAATAAATACTAAAAGTACCAATTGCAGAGTGGCTCAAGTGGCTTTTGAAAACTTTTAATTTGAGGGAAATGAGAATGTGAAATGTGCTTCTAATGATAAATAGCCTTTGAGTGTTCATCTAGAGCTTGGACCGGAGTTAGCCTACATTTAATGCTTGTGCTGTGTGAACCTGTCTTAGCATGGGTTCAGAATTGTTCTCTCATTTAAGTAGGCTTATTCAGCTCACTCACTAAAGATTATAGAAAATACAAGGCTTTTTGGAGACTGTCTGTCCGTGTCCTTTTTTTCATAGTGCTCGACCAGATGTTCAGTCATCTCATGATTCGCATAGTAAGCATCTTATATTAATGTAAATGCAAGCCAACGTAAATAGCAACCTGCACTATATCAGCACAAATTATTCTGGAGAGCAAAGTTGCATTGTAATGCACATTGTAGAGTGTGCTGCTACTAAGTTTTGGTGCATGGCTGATTATGCTTATGGAATTAATCTGACTTAATAAGTTATGCTGATTAGGAATAATTGAGACAAAAGTGAGGGACACAGTTGATTGAGAATAACTGCATAACACAAAGGAGGACATCATAGCTTTGAGAAATAGCTAGGACATTGTGAAATAGTTTGATCTGTTTTTGTTCTTTTTTGTGTGTTGTTGTAATCACTGAGAGCTTTATTCTTTGAGTTTGAGTTATGTATATTGTAATAAACCAGTCAGGCTAGGCTTGTTTTAATTTCCTTCCTTATCCTCAATATTTTTGAGTACTACCAGAATGCTGTAAGCCATTTCAGACTGCATGAAACACATTTTTTTTCCTCATTTACATTCAAAACTGCTTAGTTTAAAAGCTTTAAAAAATAGTTAGTCCACAGAGTATGGTTATTTTTTAAGTCATCCCTGATGAACAAACGGCTAAAACCTGCCTTGTTGCCTGGTACGAGCTGTTCCTCCAGCCTGGTCATATGGTTTAGCAGGCTAGTTTTTTAGAAGGGGTCTGACCACTTTAGCCTGTCAGGATGGGAGACCAGCTGAACACCAGCTTGGGCCAGGCTGTGTTTGGTGGTGGTGTTGTTTTACTTTTTTCTTTTTCTCTCAGTAGGGTTGTTAAACGAGCCTTTGGAGACCCCTCTTTGGCGACAAGGTGCAGTGCAGCTTCCAGGAAGCGACAACCCGGCGACTGTCGGTGAGCCGAATTCATCGCCTTGTTTATATCAAACAAGAAATACAACACGTTAATGAGTCGGTTAACCTACCTCTATGACTTCTCCAGAAGATGAAAGTGTTCCCTGGAGGCTAGTAGGGCCTGTGTCCGAGCTGTCCAAGAAACAATGTAGATTGATCTATTCATCTGATGGACGCGACGCGGATGTTTGTCTGTTTTATGTGAGCGGTGATTTCTTGGCGATGGACGCTCGCTGCGCTCATTCGGGTAACGTTATGACAATGAATTTTTCCACATTGTAGCTTATATCGGGTTTTAAAGCGCTAGAAAATGACGTAACGCTACTTTAGCTAGCCAGCTAGCTAGCAGCTGTATGTTGTGCGATGTGTTCATTAATTCTCTACGCGCCATTTCATTAAATCACCATGGTAACCGTAGTTGCCTAGATGTCAGTTACTTCACTCCGGTACGCTGTAAAATCATTAACATTATGGGATTATGATGTGATGTCCTGCAAACGTAATACGTTTCAGGGTATTTCTCACCCTTTTTTATTGATGAGGATGATAATTTTGTGGCAGCTAATGAAGTTACCACTTCGTTCTATGAAACATTTCTTTTCTGTTTTGATATGTATGTGACAGATATGTCTACACGTCAAATGCTATCTGAATACTAAAATGAAATAAAATGACTTTCAGGAGGTCCGCTGTGTGATGGAGATATCGAGGAGGCCGATGGAGTTCTTAAGGTTTTCTGTCCTTGGCATGACTATGACTTCAATCTCAAAACAGGGAAATCGAGCACAGGTTTACAGGTAAAGCATTTTTTGGTTCAACATTTTAACTCCAGGTTCAGTACAAGTTAAGCTCAACAATAACATTTGGAACGTTAGTATATTCCCAAACAGCAACATAGTGTCGGGCCGTCGGCCCAGATCCGGCACACAGTTCTGGGCCAGATCTGGGCCAACACCATGTTGTCGTCTGGGTTGTTGATTACCATAGAAAACTATTTCAACTTTTACCTAATCCAAAATCTATGTAAGCTTGCTTCTGGCACAAATTTTTCTCAGAATTGTGAGATAGAAACTTGCATTTGCGAGGTATAAAGTCAGAATTGCGGGATATAAAATCGCAGGTCTGACTTAATATCACTATTCAGAGATTTTTTTCTCGCAATTGCATGTTTATATCTTGCAGTCATATCTCAAAAGGTCTCTATTGCTTTTTCTTTATTTCATGTTGGAAACAAGCTTCCTTTCAAATACCTATTACATTAGGACACTTACAATGGAAGTAAATGGGGCCAGGCAACAAAGGTCAAAATATACAGGTTAACATGATTGAAACAATACAGAAAACAATACAGGTTAACATGAGTGTGATGAAATTCCTTAGTAATCTTGTCCAATCTTTCAACTTTGTTGTCATGACACCTGGGAACTGACATGATGCTTGTCTCTTTAATCAGAAGAACATAAGGCTTGTGTTCTAGTTATCGACATACTTTCAGATCCAATGACGAAAAAAGAGAAATAGTCTTCAAAATAGTTTGAAAAACTAATAAAATTACAAAATAGTTATTATTTCAGCCAACAGATGAGATCAGATGATCTCTGTTCAACACCTACATATATTACATTGCTTGTGAACCCACTGTAAAATAAATAAAAAATTTGAATTAAGAATTAATGTAATAAAATAAAATAAAAAATGAGCTTCACATTTCGTCCTTCAAACTCTCCATATGCTGGCGCTGTTTACATACCTTAAAAAAAATACCTAAATTATTTTCTGTGGTAACTCATACAACAAATGCTGTTGAAAATGCCTAATTTGTATGTGTATTGACTCTTGAACATTCCTTAAAGTTACATCAGACGTGATTATGTTTGGATAAGCAGCACATATGAGAAGTATCTATGTTACTTTATATGAATCTCTAATATAAGTAGCATTGAATCAGTGAGATGCTTGAGAGATCATTGTATACACTAGATTTCATTACTCAGCAGTCAGCCAGTTGAACCAGTTAAGTCAGCCAGTGATTTGACCGATGAATCAGCGTCTCTCCGAAAACACTTGTACTTAAAATTAAAACCACATTTGTTGTGCCATCACTTTAACTCAGTATGGCACCAAACATTATCTCACGCGGTAATGGATTGTACATCCACAGAAACATACAGAAGTCATTTCTGCCAAACAGACGTTTGGAAAGTTCCTAAGAATTAAACTACCATCATTTCGGCACGTTTCAATTTAGCCAAGCATCTGCTTTTTTAATGAAGACGAAATGTGTTCTCTCATGCTGCGAATAAATAATTGGCTGGTTGGACGTGACAGCAAACTCCATCCAATCAATATAAGGCCATAATCCATAATTACGACAGTCATCCTGGGGGTTTGACACCTTGAAATGTTCAGTAATTATACTCTATTCCCACCACCGGTTCACATCCACCGTGCTCGTATATCAAAGTACCTTCAAGCTTTAGGCTTTTACAGCTGTGCAAGCAGAAATAAAGATTCAGATGCATTGGAGGCAGGCTTAGTTTTATTTCTCCTTCAAAATGTATAGTTCTTTTTCCTTTTCTTTTTTTAGCAACAAGTTTATGAAGTGAAATTGGAGGACGGCAACGTATACGTCAAGCACGCAAGCGAGCTCTCGTTACAGCCTTTCGGACAGGTCAAAGAGCACTGAAGTTTTTGGTTACTCTTCCCTTGAACTAAATCATCTGTTTTTGTAATATTTGAAAATGATGCAGTTTTTTAGTTTTCTCCATTGGAGCAGTTGTTAATGTTTGTGTCAGTTTGTATATATACACTACGAATAAAAGATCGTTTTTTAATGATGTATTGCAAGTTGCTTCAAATAGAACATTGTTTTTTGACATTGTTTATTTGAATTGTTATACATATATTTAAAATGTAAATTGTCAATATTTATATGTAAGATTTATTGAACTCAGGGAAAATAAGGTCACAGACAGCGGCTTAATTACTCTTAGTTTTAGCTTCATAATTGTTAGTATTCCAGAGCTGTTAATGTGTTTCTCTCTAGGGCTGTAATTAATGTTTACAGTTGTTACTTGCCATAATTATACCCTCCTGGATCCAATCCTCTTGAGTGTGAGGTAGGAAATGACTTTCAACGGAGGGAAATTAAGTGACTTCTGAGAATTCCTCTAATTACTTGGTCAACTTGTTTTTTTAATCTTATGATTCCATTATGATGTTCTTGTCTTTAAAATAAAAAAAAAAAATGCATATACATTCTTATTTCGAACATTCTTTCAATTTATCCTACCCCTATAAAATATAATTTAATGCAAATATATATATATATATATATATATATATATATATATATATATATACAGCGTATATATATACTATATATATAGGTTATTTGTAGTTAAAGCTATGCATGCAATGCTCAAACATTGGACTAAACATTTTTTTTTTTTTTTACAATTTAAAATATTTATGTGTGATATTTTGCCTGCTTGTGATTTCTGGGTTGTTTTTTTTGTTTTGTTTTTTACACATTTTGTATTTAACGTTGATGGAATAAAATCAATGTCAATCGAACATGTTTACAAGAGATCTTTATTTACATTCTGGTAAAACTGACAGACATTTTAATCCACAATTTACACATAAAACTGGCTTTGAGAAAGCAAGGCAGGAAATTTCATGCAGTCTAAGCTACAATATGATTTGCAGCATTTGTTTTACGTAAGATGTTTGTGAAGCAAGCATAAAGAGAGATTTCCGAGAGCGCCGAGGCAACTATTCAACTCTCACATTGTAGTGTAGACAATGCGGTAGAGTTATCAACGCACATTTTGCCAGAGGATATTCCTGGAAATTTTGTAGTCTCCCTGAGACCAGCCAGACAGTTGAAGCGAGGACAAACACTCTTTTGAAAGCTAACTGGAGGCCAATTATTTTGTTTTAGCACCGTATTCATCCAATATCCACCTCGCCTGTGAAATACAAATGTACAGTATAGATATGCTGAAAGACCACAGGTTACATTAACTGGATATATTACAAAATTACAGAAGTTTATTCAAGTTACAAATGTATGACTCAACATCACTTACAGGTGAGACTGTCTGGGATAGAAAAAAAGCAAACATACATGATTTTAGTTGTTTTAAGTGTGTACAGCAATGTTTTTTACAGTTTAAATGGGAAAAATGGATTAGAGGTATTTTTGATATTTTATTTCCCTAATGAATTTAGTTGGCCACAACAATGTGCTGTTAATGGTACAATTTAACATACTTTTTAAATATTGCAGTCTGTTTTAATATCCGACTTTGCAAATAGTGATCAACTGCAATTTTAGAACATTTCTACCACAATTTTATAGTATATTTCTTTTGTTCAGATGAATCAATTTTCTTTTTTGACGTATGGTATTGTTGTTTAATTTGATTTTATTTCACAAAATTGTTTATATTCTACCTGCACATCTTTGGAGACAGACAATAAACTTTTCCTCCATTAAAACATGAGCCGTAATCCCTCAACCAATTAACTTCCTTCTCAAAACCAATGCAGGATAATTTAACGCATAAGGGATTAGACAAATCAAAGCAGAATTACCATAATAAAATCCTATTTGCAATGTTTAACTATACAAAACGTACCTCCGAAAATACAGTTGTCCTGCTCATGCAGGTCTGCATTATTTTTATAGTCCAATGAATTTCTAAATCTCCATAGTTACTTCAGGGTGGTTATAAATACTATAGTCAGCTGGCTAAATGAGAGGAGGCTGAATTGGATTAGCAAGCTCAGATTCATTATATCTAGGTTAAAAACAGGTACTCTGTAATTTGAAATTCAGATATACACTTACTAAGGGAATAGCCCAACATTTTAAACGGTCCTATGGCTGATTGGCTCATTCCATAAGCCGTTTTTTGTTAGGACTCTCAAGTCACTATTGGAACACAATATTGCACTTTAGGAGACAGACAGAAACAAGAAACAAAATACAATCAGTTTACCCAAAGATCTAGACATCATACACTGAAATGTACTGTATTAGTTGGATTTCATATCAAAAGCAAACATTTAATTAGGCCAGCCATGCGATTAAAAGGATGAGGAGGGGATTTCAAAAAAGGCGATGTTGCGAATTAGGGCCAATATATCATCATTCTTTATATGTCACCACGTTTGTTTAATTCCTTATTCGGTTAAGGAATGCAATTTTTGGCTAGAGTCCGGTCAGACCGATAGTTGGCCAAATCGAGACAGAACAAGCATCTTTACTGCCTCAGGTCTAGTTCATTGCATCAATATATCGTTGATGAAAGGATTAGCAGCTGTCACACTTGACCTTAACCCATACAGACTTGTCTCACCTATTTAGCCTGTAATCAATGGAAGACACTGGTCAATTAGAGAAAATGAGTCGATAATCTAAAAGTAGGACACTCCGCATAAGCACGTTTTGACATTTAAAATAAATAAATGACATCTTCCTGTATTAGTATTTGGCCAAATCAAACAATTAACGTCTTAAACAATGAAGTAAACTTGAGAGGACAGTTTTCCATACACAAACAGAAAGAGTTTAAATGTGTTCGGATAAATCAGGTAAGGATTTTGCTCCATTAGGACAGAGCATCCAATATCACCCAGCTGGCCAAGTTTAGGATTTCCATTGCAGGTTTTTTTTTTTTTGTCTTATTTCTTCATTCTTTTCAACCAGAAAAGCCTGCATGTGGACAGAAAGCATGCCCTTAATTTTCATCAACATCTTGAAATTATTTTTTTAAAAGTGGACTCGGAGAACTCACCTTGAGAAATGTCTACTCCCTTGGTGTTGTCCTTGCAGCAGGTCTTCTTCTGTTAGTGTTCGTGGCTCTGCGGTTCTGGCTCCTGCCCTGTTGGCCAAAGGGGTAGGCCACCATTTGGGTTGACCCTCTTCTGACTTGCAGTCCCTGGGACTCCCTCATCTCCCGCGCCATCTGTGTTAGTGTTAGGCCAGGATTTGTTTGCAAGCGCTGGAATAAGCTCTCACGATTCACAGTTCTTTTAGGGCAGCTGAACGTTAGTGCCACTCCAGAATCTGACTTCATCTCCCTGGAAAAACCATCTGAGGTTCCATCAAAGCAACGGCCAATGGCGATCTCTTTGGCAACGCGTGGGTTCTGGTCAGTGACGGTGTATATTCCGTAATTGTGTCCAAGGGGATCAACAGGAGCTAACATATTGAATGCATGAGATTCATTGTTCTGAAGAACAGGAGGATGCTTTATTAGATACTCTTGCAGGAGACCGTTGGTGCCTATCCGACGGCAGTTGCCTTGTGGAATCACAGAAATGAGTGACCTGTCTACAATAAACTGATCAAAGAGCATCCCGCTGCACTTGAACTCAAGACAAGCCGCAGAGGTGTTGGGATGGTTTAAGTCACGGGTACTACGAATGTCTCTGATGCCATACAACTGACCCCTTGTTTGAGGATGTGTGCCACCGAGGTTTTTCGACCTTACCATGATTTCTGTTGCTCCATGAATCTTAACTTTGATGTAGCAAGCCCTGAACTCTTGTGGATTTGGCCACCAGGAAAGGTAGTCTCCAGTCCAAGATGTGAGGTCACTCTCCTGAAAGGGTACCACGTTGTACTCGTACTTATCTTTTTCGACACGGAAGAAACGAAAGTGGTTGGCTTCAACCGGTGCGTTTTCACATGAAATTAAACTCTGGTAAGGATAGATTGGACCGTTCGTTTCATCAAAATTGTTAGGGTTTGGTTTGGCCAGGTTGATTCGGAAAGCTGTTTTCTTAAGTGCTGGATCCTCATGATCTGAGCGCTGGTAATCTAACTTCCCTAAGTAAGGCTGAGACACTCCAATAATGTTTGGGTTCATTTTTGGCGTTGAGGGGGCAGCTTCCAATTCCTCACCTCCCATTATTGCCGTCACGTAAGCCGTGTACGCGTCAGCCCTCTGAGCATCGCAGAAAGCTGGAAGACAAGCACCGTTTGGTCCTGTTATCACACTATCAAAGCGACCCCATGCCCTTGGATTTGACGAGTAACCAGGCTTGGGCTCCAGGTTTATCAAGTTTATTACTACTCCTTCTATTTGCTCGTTGGGCAGGAACTTGTCGCTCATGTACGCCCTCACCTTGACATAGCAGCGGCGGTTTTCAGGTACATCGAGATTGAACAATCTACGCTCCCTGATTTCCATATTTCCTATTAGGAAAGTCCGCTCCTCTCGTTTATTCCTCCCACTGCCAGCAATGGTGCTTTGTGTGGGTTGAAAGTTACTTTCCTCCTCCCAAATGCCTGTGTCGGGATTGAGGGACCAGAGTTTCATAGTAGGAATGTGCTCCTGCATTTTAACATGCTCCGTATCGAGGAGAACTTGGACTGCGCCGGCTCCTAGAACCTCCTGGTTTGCCCCATCTCGGAAATCCACTGAAAACATTCCGTATGTCCTGAGAGGGAGCATGTCTCCTTCATTATCTACAAAGTTGAGGTCACCAGGGGCAGCAGCAGCCATGGTAATGTTGCGTGGGTCAAGGAACGTGACGCTGGCCTTAACGGTCCCTTCATACAATTCCCCTGTGTTTTTATGGAAAGAGTTTGGAGGTATGACCAGTTGACCAATAGGGTCCTCGCCTTTAATTTCACCTAGGTAAATGGTATTGCTTTCGGCGGAATTGATATCAACAGGTTCCTGCTTCCTCATCACTTTTACATCATGGTAGACTGCACCACCTCTTTTGTCAAAAATGAAAACCTTGATTGTGTCAATGAACTTCTCAGAAGGGTCGACAAAGTTTACCACAAGACGCTGCGTGTCTGGAGACACCTGGATTGTGAACCCACCCTGATATCCTGTGGTACCTATCCGTTCCTTCCCTATGTAAATGTATCCGAAGCGAAGGGGTTCATCATTGTCTGTCGCCACCACCCTGCCCCGTACAAGGACTCTGGGCTCCACACAGGTCTGGCAGCCACATTCACTCACAACCTTTATAGGCAGGGTGTAACGGCCACAGTTGATCTCTCTAGTGTCCAATTGTTTGACCCCACAGCAGAAGCCAGATCCATCCCTGCAGCGCATATCAAAGTCCAGCGACCCAGGGCATTTGTTATGTGGACAGCGACCTGCATTGTAAAACTTGGAGTCTGTTCCAGGCTGCTTGCAGTCAAATGGCAATTTGATCAAGTGAGAATCAGGTGTCGAGTTGCATGCTGGTGATCCTTTA